CCTCTGGATCCATCGCATGCTAAGGGCTTGGAGTTGGGATGCAGGGTCAATTATCCCCAATCCGCCCTTAGTTTTAGGCTGAATGACAGAGTCCCATGCCACTCTACTGATTACCCGTGGCAACCTGCTATCTCCTCTCCATAAAAAGGCCACTGACTGTTTCTTGAGCGCCTTGAGGCCGTGCTTGGAGAGGGGCCATAACACGGACTTATACCATAGGGAAGCCAACACCACGTTATTGATCACCAGGGCTCTTCCAAAGAGTGATGTGTGTTTGTTGTCCCATGCTTGCAGTTTTGTGTGTGTCGGGGGTAGAATCCAGTCGTCGTTCGAGGCTGGTCTTCCTTTTGCAGTCAACGAGGCTCCCAGCCCCCGCAGTGGTGCCTCTGGGGGTAGCCATGATATGCGCAGCATTTCTGGCGGTCTTCCTCCTTGGTGATGTAGCCACCAGCCCACCGTCTTCTGCCCCCAATTCACCGTCATGTCCGAGAGGCGGCAGAAGCGATCCATTAAAGCACGGACCTCCTCCATGTTACTCGCGCATGCCTCCATTAGGATGGTAAGGTCGTCGGCGAACAGCGAGCACACCGGGACTGCCTCTTCCAGAATCCTTGTCAGTTGGATTCGTTTGATGTCTTTGTTGTGTCTCAGGTTCGCTGACAAGGCTTCCATTATAACCAGGAAGAGGAAGGGGGCTATCGGGTCCCCTTGTCTAACTGATCTCTGGAGGAGGAATTGCGGTGCCACTGAGTCATTCACCTGGACGCACGTGGTGGCGTTCTTGTGCAAGATCTTGATCCAGCGCTGGAAGGATGGTCCAAAATTCATCCTGTCCACGCACTGGTCCAGGAAAAACCAATCAATGTGATCGTATGCTTTTTCAAAGTCAATAAAGATGATGGCTGCATTGGCTTTTCCGCGCTGTGAGAGGCTAAGGACCTCGTTGACCAAGAGAATGTTCTTTTGGATGTTCCTGTTGGAGATGAAACYGGTYTGAGYYGGGTGGATGATGTCTTCCAGGACCGTCGCCATCCGGTTTGCCAAGTCCTTCGCCAACATTTTATATACTAYKGTAAGCAGTGTGATARGTCTATAGTTTCTGAGGTTCATTTTGTCCCCCTTTTTATGCAACAGAGACAACACCCCCTTCCCCACCACGTCTCCCATCTCCCCCTCTTCCCAGACTCCCTGATAATATTCCCATAAATCAGCACTAAGATCCGCCCACATACATTTCCAGAATTCCTTGGGGAGACCATCGATTGTGGGTGTCTTCCCCTCATCCATTTGGAGGAGCGCTGTCCAGATTTCTTCCTTGGCCAGCGGTCTTTCCATCTCGTCTCTTTGCTGCGGAGAAAGGCGTTTGTTCATGGGGCGCAAAAAGTCCTCCAGGTCCTGTCGTCTTTCCGCCCCGTCCGGATCTCGAACTTGTGAGGTGTATAGGTTCTTGAAAAAGGTTCTGGTAATCAATGTGCAATGAGGTGTGTTTGTGGCAATGACTTCCTCCCCTTTCTCAGGGTCGAAAAGGGCGTCGATGACTGACCGACAAGCGCGTGCGTTCGCCATACTGAAAAAATGGGTGTCCATAGTTGCTTCTTTAGTGAGCTTGGTTAGCTTCCCTCGAACTCTAACCCCTTGCCATCTATACTGTGCGAACTGTAGCAGTTGGTTCTTTATTCGCTGGATGGATTCTATCTGATCTTGTGATGCTGCCTTGGATTCCAGGCTAAGGAGTTTCTTCTGTAGATCCATTTCCTTTTGGTAACGCTGCGCTGCTCTGTCTTTGGAGAAGTCTTTACATTTTTTGGCAAGAAAAAGAAGACCGTTGTTGAACCAATCCTGATGCAGATCAAAATGGTTGTTCTGCTGGCGCCAAAACTGCCATGTTTGAATTGTTGAGCTTTTAGAAGCGAGGTGTTTAGTTTACAGAAACTGGGGCTTTGGTCGGGCCTCTTGCGCGTTGTAAGAATAATTCCACATGTTTTATGGTCCAGTCCTGGGTACGGACTATGGGGGAGGCTTGCCGCCCACCGCAGAGCGCCTTCCAGGTCCTTGGAGAGTAGAATCAGATCAATGCGGGATTTGGAAAGTCTCCTTGGGTTACTAACCCTTATACATGAGAAAGTGTGGTCGGTAGGGTGAAGTTGGCGGAAGATGTCGAAAATAGAAAGGGACTCACACAACTATGCTATCATCTGTTCATCCGCCTCTGTGGCAAAGGCCGGTGATGTGTGAGGGCCCCACCTGTCTACCCAAGGATCCGAAGTTGCGTTGAAGTCACCAGCCACCACGACGGGGATCCCTTCTGGTATCTGTGGTCCCAGTCCCTCCAGAAAGGTTCTCCTTTCTCCCACTGTATTGGGGGAGTATATGCACAAGATGCAGAGCAATTCTAGCTCAAGCATCCTAAGGACCGATTCCCATTGCCCTTCTGTTTCATCCACAACCCAGTATACCATTTGGAATCTAGATTCGGGGGGTATCCAAATCGCCACCTCTGCCGACCCGGGTCTCGGGGCGTGGGCCCACATGGCCTGGTGTGGCCAGGTCATCTTTCTGGCCCTGATATGCTCGGGCCTGTTCTGTAGGTGGGTTTCCTGTATGCATATTACATCCGGCCATTGCCGTCTCCCACTCCCCTGAGTTGGTCCCAGATGGCCTGCCGCTTTTCTGGGTTGTAGGTGGCTAGGCCATTCATGTTGAGTGAACGCATATCTAGATCCGCCGATTTAACACATTTTTGCCAGGCCGGGTTTTTACAATATAAGGTTTGTACGTCATCCATACAGTTCGTGTGGTGTATCTAGTGTGAGTGGGAAGGGGCTACAGTGGCTGCCATTTTTTTGTGTCCCATCTGTCCAGGGAGAGGGTCTTTTTCCGAAGAATAGTACACAGACACTTGCACACATCTTCGGCAGACCAAAAACTGCTGGATTTAACCTTGTGGTCCTACAATTCAAGGAGGGCCTTGTGGCAGAACCAACACAGGTTCGCAGTTTTCTTGGATTCGAATAGAAGGAATAGATCATTCCGTGCCATCTTTTGTTTGCACCCTTCCATTCTCATGGCCCCTCTTGCCCCTGGYGCSAAAAATTGAGGGATGTGTTCGTTAACCTGTTTAGTGAATGTGGCATCTCTCTCCCTCCCTTCCACCACGTGTGTTGGATATTCCCATCCCTGCAGTGTGACTTCCCCCGTGTCTCCCAACGGGGATAGCCCCACCTCCCATATCCCATCTTCTTTCTTCAATGGGATTACCAAAACCCCTTCCTTTTTGGAGAGGGGGGGCCTCGCACAGGCCTTGCTCGACGAGCTGTCGCAGTTTCAGCCTTCGTGGTGCTGGCCCTTCAGGGGCTGGCCCTTGGTGCTCCTGGTTGCTCGGTGGTGAGGGGGGGGGGCGCGGAAGCGGTCACTAGCTATGCATAGGATTCGTCTGAAGATCTCTGCCCATGTTAAATGGGGTGGAGGGCCCATCGACAGCGGTGTTCTTACTGCTGAGCTGCTATTCAGCAGAGTGAAGAGTTCTACATAAGCCGTGTCCCAGTATTCCTCTCCCCCCTTAGGATGCTGGGAGTTTCGGTGTTGGAGTACCCACTCCGTGATTACTTGAATTTCTGTTCCATCTCCATTTCAGATAGTGGGGCGTCCGGGTCTTGATTGGCGTCCGCCATGAATTCCTCGGGGGGCAGGGGGGATTGAGGGTCTGCTTCCATTGGATGTGCCCCAAAAGCTTATGAGAAGCAGTCTTGCCCCTTTGACTTCTTGCTTTGCTGGGGGTCTGAGCCCCAATCCTGCCCTTTTGCTTTCTAGGCCTGGTTGGCCTCTTACCCCTCCCCCTTTGGTTCTTGTGGATTCCCTTTCTCCAAATCTGCTATATTCCCCCCTTGTACCTCTTGTTTGTTTGGGTTCCCTTCCTCCGTTGCAGGCTGGGGGTGCTTCCCTCTCCTGCCGCCGTCCTCCACTATCTGCCTCCCGTTGACATCGCTACTGAGTTCGTTCTGCCTTATCCGTTCAGTCTATTCAAACCAGGATGCCTGCATCGTATGTCCTTCCGAAATCCCTTCCAGACTCCCCCCCCCTCCTTGCTTCTTTTGTCCCTGGGGCCCCTTCACTTGTCTCATTTGTCCCCCATGCCCCCCTGGTCTTTCCATCACCTCTGCGCCCCCTTCCGCCTGTGCCTTCCCCCCTCCTCGAGTCTGTCTCACCCCCCCCCTGGTGTACCTCTCCCAGGTTCCTCTCGTCTCTTAGGGCTCTCCCCTGATAGTGGCACCTCAGTCCACTTTTCTCTCTCCCTTTTTGTGTTTTGTTTGCCTCTTTCCTGCGGACCACTGTCCATTGGTCTGTTGTGGGAGGTTTCCTTTCCTGTTCCCCTGGAGACGGGACTCCCTTGGATTGTGCCAGATGGGCCTCCAGGGATCTTGGGGGGGGCCACAAAAGTCGGGGTTTGGTGGTTAACACCGGGTTCCCTTCCCCTTCCCACGACCATCCCACTATGGCACCGCTGTCTTTTCCTGGTTCGTCTATGAATACACATCCTTCATGGCCGGGATCCACAGTGCGGCATCGTGATATGTTGAAAGGGTCTCTCTTCAGGCGCCCGGTGGGTTTCGCTGTGCGGGACGGGTGGTGAAGGCATTCGGTGTCCGTGTATAGGTGGTCGTACACCTGACACCTGAAAAACCAAGGACGGTGTTTGTGGGCAGTGTGTATGCGGTACAGCCTGCCTCCTATACAGTAGGGTAGGATGTCATCAATCACAAATATCTGGCTGTCAGGGAGATAATGGCCAGCATGAGATAATCGTTTCTCTTTGCTACGTGCGGCGGCAAGGGGTCTATGAAGCCTACCACGTCATATTTTTCCGCGAAATCTTGCACTAGTGCGGCCTGGACTTCGATTGGGACATGCCGGAACTCCACCCAGAAAAATTCTCTCATCATTTGTTCTCTCCGTTCTTCCGGTTTTTGCTGCCGTGGGGGGGACCATGGATATATTCTTACCTCTGCTCCCTTGCATCGGAGTGATTTCCAGTTGTCCATCATCCTTTTGTCTGAGTCAAACATGCAAATAACAGTTATGACAGTCGATGACGCTGGCTGGATTAAAAAGAACTCATTCGCGGTTTCCGGAGACCCTTTGAAGGCCGCTAGACGACCCCTAACCCAGTTGATTTTGTCGCTCATTGACTTGAATGCTGCGTCGTCGTGGAAAGCCCAATTGCTCGCATAACACGTGAATAACTCGTCTCTCAGTTTGACTTTGTCGTTTGGGAGGGCTTTGACTATGGTTGATTTACCCCCCTGGTGCAATATCCTGCTTTCTGAAGGTGACAGGAGACGTGTCAGGAAGAAAGCCCCTACTGTCGACACGTTTGATAGCCACAGTAGAACAGTGGCGGCAGCCACGTCATCCAATAACACACGTGGCAGCGGCCACATTAGCGACAGCGCATGGCAGCTGCCACGTCAGCATGCCAAGAAGACAGGTGCAAGCCAGCCACCATGCCGGACTAGCAGCGCCTCGCCGAATCACAAATGCCAGCGTCGCAGCGTCGAGCCAGCGTTGAAGTCAATGCGTGAAGTCAGCATCAACGCAAGACAGAAYGAATGAATGTCAAAGCCAGGGAGGTCAACGCYTAAGTAGCRTTGACTCGGGGTCTGGACCCCGGATGCTGCAACCTTTAGCCGTCCAGATCTTGATGCAAACGGATTGGTCTGAAACTGAAATCCCTTCGGCCTGGATGCTGGTCTGGGTACCTGCGCACAACAAGTGAGTGTATCCAACCAAGGGCCTGGGCGCGGTACCTTTGACTCTACAGATGACTTTGACTCTTGACTTTCCTGAGTGCAGCGTTTGGTCACACAGCCAAACGCGACAGACTCAGACCTGGGCGTGTCCTGGTCACACAGCCTAGCGCAGACCAACTTTGGTCTRCATTGCCTGGGGCTGAGTTCTGGGCCCCAGGCTACTTCTGAAGAGGGTTACTGCAGTTTGCTGCAAGACGGGTGCTCCACTGTTTGAACTYCGAAGTGCARTSCCGGTGAGTGTCTGCTGTCCAACAACCCCCCACCCCRGCAAGCATGCACCCACACTGACTTAGAAAACTCAGCAACAAGCGGGAAACTCAGTAAGGGATACATTCCATGAGCAAAACTCAGAAATCAGCTGTGTCTTAGTCCGTGTTTGGCAGGTCATTACTCTTGTGTCTTTTGCCAGCTTTGTTTACAACTTTGCATGTCTGTTAGTTGAATGTACTTCTTGGTTTGCTGCAAGACAGGTGCTCCACTGTTTGAACTCCGAAGTGCAGCGCCGGTGAGTGTCTGCTGTCCAACGCCCCCTCACCCCACCCCCTCCCTTTTTTTTTCCCTTTTTTAAAAAAAATTCCCTTTCGGGTCCGGACATTTTTGGACCCTCTAACGTCAGTCCGGACTGTGCGGGTGTCCGATGGTGTCCAGATCACCGGACTGTCCGGACCAGTCCATACATAAGTCTGGAATACAGTCCGGAAGTGTCTGGCATCCGGGTCCGCGGTTACCATGGTTCTGAGTCCATCCATGTGTGCATTTTGCCTGTTCTCAGTCCACAGTCTTGTTCGGTCTGCTTTGATCTTGATTTCTGTGTATTTTGTTGTTGTCAGTATGGTTGTCTTAGCTACCAATTCACTTTGTTCTGTCTAGAGGAGTGCCCAGGACTTCGTACTATCCAAAACCCTGGCGTGTACTTTTTCATCTTTTTGAGGCTGGGCCTGTGCTCAACTTTTTGTACCGGGCCGCTTTTCTTTCCAGGCCTTGCTGCTGAGACAGCAGGGTAGGAAATGGACCTCAGTAGGAACCCAGGCCACACATTTTCAGGCCTGGGTCTGAGTTTGGTGACACACACTCTCATGTGGACCGCTGGATCCTGTTGAGATCAAACGGCCCAAAGGAGCCTGTTTGGTGGCCTACAGTCTTCCCCGAACAAAACGCACGTATGTACTATTCAACTTTCCCTGGAAAACTCGATTTTTCGAAGTAGCTCCTGAGAATCCAAATAGTACGCACATGTGTACT